AAAAGTCACATTTTCTATTTTCATTTAGTTTTTGCACAAAGCCATTTTCTTTCATGGCCGTGGGAACACTTTTTCCATTTGCGTACATGTGATTTGGTGCTCAGGTAAAAACATCTCAAATGGGCTCAATGCCAGATGTTTGTTTGGGCAATAGAGTAATCAAAGAGTTGTTAGAAAAGAGAAAAAATAACAAACATGTGGTTGTCATTATGACCATCACTTCCGAAAATATTTATCATTTTCAACGCAACCTTCTCAGAGTAACATAATTAAGAATTTTTCTTTCTCTTGAAAAAAAAATCCCTTGAATAAATGCTCGTGTGAATCTGTGCTTGTGTTAAGCATTAAAACGAGGAAATGTCCGATATTTCCTCTGCTTTTGTATTGTATTGCCGAGTTTTCGGATTATTTTATTTATTTATTTTTTTAATTTTGGTGACTTGATTTGTCTTTTTAGCCACGTGGCTCTGTTGATCAAATATTTAGTTGCAAACAGCGCAATATCGACTAGTATGTCTGAACGAGCCATAATAATTAGGCATTTTACGTTTTTATTGCCCGAACCGTTGCGATAAGGTTTGTAATGACTTGGGTCAATGGTTGCTCAATAAGTGGAAAAGTACTTCTATATTTCGAACGTGCGCTGACGATACTGTTCAGTTTTGGCGGCAACAATTGACAAAAAAACAATTCAAAATGCCATTGACATCAAAAGTATCGGCAATCGAATCCATTGAATGGACAAAATTAGTGAAGGTGAAGCGCATCGAAATTGTCTACCAGTCTAATTATCGTTTCCGATTTCGTTTTAGTTCTTGTTGTCACCGTAACTGATTTAATTCGTCCGTAATTTAGCCAATAAAGGCTATTTCAATATGAGTCGCCGAATTTGTAAGAAAAAAAACTATAAAAGAATTGGGCCCAAATTTAGCGAGTAGAAATTATACCTATGATCAACTTCACAAATTAATCGATTTTGAATTTGTGACAAAAGTAGCTATTTTGTGAACCTTTGAGTCATTTACGACACCAAATCCAGTCGCCAATTAAATCATTTATCTAAAAAAAACATTTACAACCTGTTGAATAATTCAGTGAACATGATGAACTCTGAACAGATGGAGAGTAGACACATTTTAAACACAAATACAAACAATCATTGGCGACTTTTTTTCATTTAGCCAACACCATGGCGCTCATTTCCATTTAGTGCGAGCCTACGCAAAGTGCAAACGAAATCTGTGAATGAAGCCCACGCTCAAATGACCTGACCAAACTTATGACTACGTACCGTATATCTTGTAGCTCCAAATAGAATTAACGTAACATTTTTAGCTAAGAGTTGTAAAAAAAAAGATCAACCGACATCAATGTTTGCACATGTACAAACGTTTCACATTGGATTAGCTCATTTAATGAACCAATAGATTGATTACTGTTGGAATTGTTCAGATTTTATGTGTTTTATGCGTTGGCTCAACGACTCATTAAAAATTTGATTGTTTTCGATAGTATTCTTTTTTTTATTGTTGGCAATAACTAAAAAAACATGGGAACTTCGTCAAAATACCGACCAAATCAGATGAAATCTCATAAATTTTTTTTAAATAGGATGTGAGTATATTAATTGGAAACGGAATTTTACATGTAGTCCAAATCGATTGTCGCGTATTTCCGATGCCTTTGTTTGAATTTCTTTGATCCACCTTCACTGCGTCCGACAAAGAGAAAACTGTCATACACAATGAAGGTGCCGGAAAATGTGGTTGCATTCGCAAGTCTCTGATTTATTTTCGCTTTTATCTCGAATATATAATGTCATTGTTAGTTTGAAGTGAAAGAAAAGATGCCGACATTCGACATAAATAATCTATGCATTCTAATGCATGATCATAGCTTCAATGCTGTATATTTAATAAATTTACATATGTTAACACCGTAATCAAATTAAAAACAAGGTACTTATTTACATTTTCTTTCGTTTCGGTCTGAAAAAAGAACCGTTTGTTTGCATTAAAACCGAACTTGATAACGTTTGTTTGCTCAAAGGAGGCTTATTTTGGGCTAATGCACTTTATCTTTCAAATGACTATCAAATGAACGTACATGCACAGAAATGTGCTATTAAAAGATAATTACGCTATGTAATTTACACTAATTTTGTACACATTATCACTAATTTTCTCACACAATCTCATCTTGCATCGAAAGCGGAAAAAGCATGAACATTTTGAATAATAAATGCCAATTTAAAATGTCTAATTTGTTGTTTTCAATTCGTTTCAGAATAAAATTGTATAATCGATTATGATTGCGTTGCCAATTCAAACAAACGTTATGGGAAAATGTCGCAGATGAGCGCATGCATTCAAATGGATTTACCTTTATTTGAACATATTTCAATAGAATGAATGTCACGTTTTGTATTGGATTATGTCAATGTTTCTGTGTATGATTTGCGCCCTCATTCTTTCGTAAAAAAATTCCACAAAAAATCATAAATTGGGATTTTTATTTGACTGCATTTCAAAGTAGTTTTCTTATGGATTTTCAAGTGATTCTAATTGTGCAATAAAAATGTTGGTTGCGTAAATAAACCAACGGCAAAATCCTTTACTCTTACCATGTTTTATGAGCCATTTAAAATAAATATATATATTTTTTAACAGAAAGAAAAACCGAAGCATTTATTCATTTTCTGCAAATCGTATTTCTTCGAAAGAATTATCTATAGATTTCATCTTTAGTTTAATTCAATGCAGGTAGAAAATATAGAGAATTAATACACGAAAAAGTCCCAGGGTGATGCATGCACACATGTACATTTTTCTCACAGTTATCGCAGCGAGACACAGCACCAAGGAAAGAAAAAGTTACCTATTGTAACTTGTTTCTTATATATATGTTTTTTCAAACAACAAATCTAATTTCCTTTCGAAAAATACACCCAAAATATATAATAGAAAGAGAAATAACAATGCATCAACTCACACACATACTCTGACAGGGCAACACATACACCAGTTTTATACATATATTTTTTTTAAAAATTCAAAAAAAAATAAATGACCAAAACTAGGCTCATAAAATGCTGAGCCATGGTAGTTTTATTGCATTAGACACCTATGCATTTTCAACGCCAATGCAACAAATATAAAGTTGGGACGAAGAGAGGGAGAGAGAGGGAGTAAAGACAATACATTCTAGCAGGTAGAAATCATATCAAACATACATGCTTGATAGAGGCACATAGGTATTTTTTGGCTCTCATGGTAATTTGAAAAGGTAAAGTAAAGATAGATGATGTCAGTGCACAATATTTCGGCTTGGCTTCGTTCTCAAAATTTAAAATGCATATACGTAATTTTCAAATGTATATGTATGACTGACATGCATCATGTTATGGATCGTTGAACATTGTGTCAACGCTTACAAGTTAGAATTCAACAAATTCTAAATCCATGAAAAATGGAGATAGATTGTTGTATAAAAAGTGAGGAATCAACTTGTTTTCTAATCAAATTTAGTGGGTGTTATAAATGAAACAAAGAATCTCTATATTTTCCGATACACGTACAGCATATGTTAGTTACATTAAAATGACTTGAAATTAATAACGAAACCATATAAAAAATAAATATATTTGATATATTGGACCTTTTGTTTGATGAAGGCCATAAAATTCGATAGAATAATAAAATCTGATTTGAGTCTCTTTCATAATTGTACCATAACTTTGATTCGAATAGTCAATGTCCCATGAAAACTGATCAAACGTTGGTCAAATTTGTGTTTGTAATGGCGATCGCAAGCTCTTCCATCTGAATGGAGACGGTCGAAAAAAATTGCTGACCGATCACCAAAAGCACAGCGAACGAAAGACGCTGAAACAACTTGATCCGACTTTTTTAAAAGTTTCACATCCAAACAGACTCACGTGAATGATGCAAATAGTGTTGAATGTATGTGAAAGTTTTCTTCTGTGAAAATGAAACAATGAACATAGAATAAATCTAACTATAATTAAATTAAGGTCGGTCAATCAAGTGATTAATTGAGCATATCGCAAGCTTCAAATGTATCCGTTGACGACGACGATTCACTTTTAGTACTCATCTAATGATAAATTGGTGGTTGTGAATCGCCTGTTCCACTTCGATCCAATCTGAATGGCTTCTAAATGACACACTCCCGACGAATCTCAGCTGAGATGAATATATAAAGCTCAATGTGAAAGTGATCGTGCAATTTTCTTTTGTTTCCATTTCATTGTAGTCGAACACAATTATGGGTATTTGATTACACACACACGTATTGTTTTTAATTTGTGGTTGATAAATGATCATTTGGCGTACATTTCGATGCCATACATTCACACCATTGCGTTTGTCAAGCATTCACCGTCACTTTCAATCTTTTCAATGTGAATCAATTAGCGAGCGAAATGACTTCAGTTGTGACTGTACATATTCTCTAATGTGCGCCAATTTCAGGTTAAAGTATGCAAATAATGGCATGAAATGGTAAAGCTAATTTTTATGAGTTAGACAACAACTTTCTAGCATAATTGCATTGGAACTTCGATCCTTCAATTCAAAATGTGAATTTATACCGTCTAATAAAGTTGATTGACTTATGTATATACAATTTTTGACGTTTGCTAATTTTTAAAACTCACCTGTCGTTACAAATTCAGGTTTTCTTATTCCAAGTAAAACCTTAAATTATGCGTACAACAACAATTTATCATACGGTTGCGTTTTCCAGTTGGTATATACATTTATTGAATATACAATCAACTGAGACCCATGCTATTCTGTTGGTAATTTAAACGACTCGTTCGAATATGCTTTTGTAACATCTAATGCTTATGTCTAATCAATAAAATACGCTGTACTAAATATAATTGATCGAATTGTAAAAAAATCCAATGGAAAAAAATTTAATGTTCGCAACAAATTGCAACGGAGTTATAAAATAAAACCCGTTTAAGTACTTACTTTTAAGGCACAGAATATACAGTCATCGCCGCTGCAAACGTGGTTATTGAGCTGACGGAATGATCTTCGGAAGGCATCGAGATGCCACAGCACCTGAAAGAATAAAGAAAGAAATGCGTAAGAAAAAACAAAGTCATATTGGTAGCTTGTGGGATCAAAACTTCACAAATCAAAATGACCACTTCTGGAGAATGGAAAGAAAGAGCACTCCACAGTTCAAGAGTTCATAGACTCAAACTTTGTGGAACATATGTTTGTTTCTTTGGTGAATATACAGTTGAAATGATTACTATGTGGGTAGTTGAAAAACTGTGAACGTAATGCAGCACACTGAATGTGGGTGGCTTCTTCACCTCATGAATACATGTACACACACGCGCTCAAAAAAGAAAGAAATTAATTTAAACTCATACGATTTATCCGTTTGAATGGGATTGAAAAGTGACCAAACGTTTATCTTAATAGTTTGTGGACGAAATTCATGGTGTTTCCGTCGCCATAAATTTAAAACGAAATGACGCAACAAACAGTTAATATATCCGACGAATGCATCGACATTAGTTCCTTCAACTTGACAAAGAGTGAGCTTCCTCTGCACTTTTTGATTTTTTTTTTTGTTATTCAGCCGAAAATTGGACAGATTATACACGAAAGATACAAAGAAGATAACACAAAAAAATGGTGTAGATAAGTATACGCATAGGCCCATCAAAAAATAGATTATAGGGCTGAAATGAATCGGGAAAATGTGTGATGGAACAACTGGCAACCTATGAGCATATCACTTCGTATAGTTTTTACTATAAAGACAAGAACAAAAGGTTCATTATTTTGTAATATGCGCTGGCTGAGAATATTTTCTCTGTTTTCATTCTTGTACCTCGAGGTACACACATAAATTATAATTATTACAACAAATAACAATCTTAGCGAGCGCAACATCGATAAAAATGATATTACGAGAGAAAGAAAGAGATACCTTTGTTCGTGTAATTTTTTTATTATTATTTCGGTCGTTTTTATTATATTTTCATTTTCTGGGTTTTCTTTTGTTTCTCTTCTACGATGATGAATCTCGAGATTGAGACCCTCAGTGATGATGGTCTAATAAAGAGTTGTAAAATAATACGATTTGAGTTCATCGCCAACAATACAGTTCAAATGGCACATGGTTGTTCGCTAGGGGGTAGACACATGGAATATTACTTGAGATATTCACCGAAATTGAAGGTACTCTTGGTATTCTTGGTATTCTTGGTATTCTCAGTTTTAGACGAAATGTCAATGCATTCAGCAACGTCTCACAATGTGCATATATGAATATTATCTTCCAAATATTAAAAAAACTTTTTCAACGCTATTAAGTGTAGTATTTCAATTGGTTTAATAAATACAAAAACAATTTTGATAAAAATAGCAGAAAGAAAACGGAAAAAATTAAAATAAATTTCGAAATGGTGAATGTTAAAACGAAATGGAAGAAACTTGAAATCTTTATTACCGATATCAATTTGACATTTGGTAATCACGGTATTCACATTTTTAGTACAAGTAATCTTTAAATAAGTAAGTAATTGTCATATTTGAAAATAGATAGGTATTATGACAATTCATTGGTATTCATTCATTCTCTATTGTGTCTACCCCCTAGGTTGTTCGTACATTTTCCTATGCCCGGTTTTTTGATTAATTATGTCATTTTTCTTGGTAAACATTCAGCCAAAACGTTTAAATGAATAATATTCTTGATGTACAGCGTTTTTGAAAGTACAAAAATTGCTTGGTAAATTTGCTAAACACCGATCAATTTGGCGGTTGAAACGCAGCCAAGAACATCATCAGTGCTTTTTCGATTACAATGGTGGTACCGTTGATTCTCACAATTTTCTCGGTAATTGTATCATTATTTTGACTGATGTTTAACTCGTGCTGAATGCAACCGTGAACGTAGCAAAAGTCGAATAAGAGACGAACACCAGATAAACATCGAGAAACAACCGCTCAGAAAACCGCACACAAATTTTCAACTGATTGTGTGTTATAGAAAGCGAACAAAGATGTTATTACTTAATTTTATTCTGAAGAAGCGCGTAAAACCGCGCAGACAACAAATTCGACTCACAAAAAAACGAGAATAACCATCTAAAACTTAAGTGAATTGTCTTTGTCGTCAAGTCAACAAACGATAAATTATCATTTGTTTGTCTTGCCACGTCTTTAAAATTCAAAGAAAACAGTCTGAATTCGGTAAAAAAAACAAGCAACGCACTCAAAACATAATGCAGTGCAATGTTGCTTTCTGAATTTAAATCAAATTTCCAAACATGGTTGGAACTTTGCTTCATATTCAGTCCCTTCTCATTTCAGCACACAACCCAACACATTGGATGTCAGCACGCGACTGTTGCGGAGTCGTCAACACTTGCATTTTATCTGATAGTACCAAAAATGGTATGCTTCTCATTTGGATTTGTTCGGGCAGAATTCAAAATAGCAGTGGTGCTCGCTGATAAAGTCAATCAAAACGACAAATCTAATCTCAAAAACATAAGTTTCCCGTGGCTTTCTCTTTCCAAACACTGTAAATCAGTGCATACACGACACATTTGGTTCAACTTAATTAGCATTTGTCGTTCACTAATTCAATTGAAGCACGTTTATGTACGATGTTGCCATATGGCAAACGGATTGCTTGCAACAGAAGAAAAATTGCAATTGAAATTTCAAAGAAAAGCCATACAGTCGCGCATACATTACTAACCGTCTTATTATATTACCTAAAATGCACTTAAGTTTTCCAAAACCAATTTTAGCAGTCAGCATATTTTGCAGCAGCGACTTGATTCTTCTTTCAATGCATGGAAAATTGCCGCGTATTTTGTTTTGTTTGCCGCCAATTTGTGCAATTTTCATAGACGTTCATATGATGCACAAACTAATACAAAATGAAACGCTAAAAAATACTCTATATGGTTTAGCTCCTTTTTCCTGTTCGTCGTCGTTGCCATCGTTCGCTTACAAACGTGTACGTGTAACGAAGAAAACCGAAACCGCTGAACGCTATGCACGATTTTAAGTCCGGTAAATACGATTGTTTGGCGCAAAACGATATAAATGGCAATTGTTTTGGTTTTGGTTTTGTATCTGTTTGAGCCTTTGTTTCTCTCCGTTCGTAATGTTCGTTTTATAAAACGAGTTTTACTTTAATATATAGGCATCACATGAATCGATTCTTGCTATAATAATCACAGCACGAAATATACCGAGAACATCAAATGTGGTTACAAACGACATTATGTAAGTGTATCAGCATTTTTGCGCGATTGCAAGTTTTTCTTGTAAGGAAATGCGCGCTTTAATTTCGTCTCCGTTGATTGCGGAGACAATACTCAAAAAAAAGTGTGTTTACAATTACAGTTTTTAGCGCATTATTCATAAAACCGTCGATGCGGTTCAATTACCGCGACTTCAATTGCACATAAATATATTAATTTTCATTTGTGTCACACAACGCCAACCGACGTTTCGTACGTTTTATTAGTAGAAAAATGAACTATGAAACACAATTTTCACTTCGGGTTTCATGTTCTCAGAAGAAAAAGCCAGAAATGATTCGAAATACGAGATTTATTGTTGATCTACGAAAGAGAAACATGATTTTCTCGGCGAAAAAATTAGAGACTTTATATCAGACATGAATTTTATAATGGCTACGACTGTGGAGTAGTAAAGGTTTCAGATCGCATGTCAAACCAATAAGGAAAAAAATACGATCGTACATTGTGCGTCCGTTTACATGTACGTTGTCGCCTCAAGTAACAAATTCACAACGGTGTGAAATATATATCTATAGTATTTATCAAGCGAAGATTAAAGTTGTAAAAAAAACGTAATTGCACGCATTGCGTATTGATGAAGAAAAAAACTATTCGCATTTCAAATATATAAATTTTGCATTGGAGGGGCAAAAAGTGACTTCGAAAACTCAATACAACTGGGTTCAGTCGCCTGTTGTGCAAAATCGCATATTCAAGTCGGATTGGAATAGAAAAGGCACACATAAAATTCAAATACGCCAATTCGAATGTGTGCCATAAGAAAACCACAGATCTTCAAGCGCGCTTTTCTATATGCTTAAAATCAAATCAATTTCAAAAAGATATTCGAGTTTTTCTCTCTCTATTTCTTTTTATTCGCGGTTGTCATACATTAACCGTGCGCAGCAACATGCTTTCTCGAATGTTATATTTTGTGCAGTAACTTACTCTATCTTACACGATGTTGAATGCGGAGCTCTCGCTTCTGCGAAGGGTACCAATAGATAAAAGCGTTTAATATGACCCAACATTTCATCTACAGTCTTGCTTTGCGCATTTACAGACAGACATTCGAGTCGAAAATGATCACGATCATTTTTCGGTGGGCTACAGCAATTGCTCATTTTATAAGTGCTTTGTGTTCATTTCGATTTCAAACTCATATGTGTTCATGTTAAGACTATTCTCATTTTCTTTTTTGTACGAATACAATCGTTTGCTTATTCTACGTTTGGGCCAACGTTTTCAACCTTTGTGTGTGTCGCCATAAGCGTTTTACGCCTTTATTGTTTGCTGGACAATAATAGCGTGCTTTTATTTTTTGTCTTTAAATAAATCGTATTTTTTGTGTTCGGCATCATAGTCGTTGTTGTTGCTGCCGTTGTTTTTTTTCTACTGACCACTCTGATGCTCGACTCCAGCCGAGAGACAGCATATGAACTTAGTGTCACTATCCCATAAGATTGGTGTGTGTGTGTGTTTCCTTTTTCAGGCTTTGCATACGTACGTATAAGTCCACGCTTTGCATAAGCGTTTATGCTTCGGTTTTGGATAAAAAAGGTACAGTCAACACATGCAACAATGATTCGATACATGGTGCTCTGGTGTATGCATACGAGCAGAAGGAAGGTTGAAGAAGACGAAGAAGAAACGAAAACATACGTGAATGCATGACATGAAGTTCTTGCTACATTAAGATACGAAGAGAAGCGATGGAAACAAAATATTGTTCAAATGTTGACGAACGATACATACACGCGCTCTATCGTGTTGCTTGGTTCGGTCTTATTCTGTGTTGCATGATCGTTGTGCTTTTAGCGTTAACATAAACGATAAGGAACACATTTACTCCGTGTTCGTTTGTTTTGTCTGCATTTTACCTTTTTTTCCATCGTCATCGATTTTTACTAACCATCGTAACCGAATGCGAGAGAGACGAAGACACAAAGAGAGAAAACAAAAAAACTAATTTATTTTAAGCACTCGAAGATTGTATGATGCGATGATGGGCTTTTAAATTTTGTTTTCTTTCAATTTTACGTTTGCGATTCAATACAAGCGCGTTTGTTTGACCATCATAATAGCATCGAATATATTCGTATATGTTTTTCATTTTGACAACACAACACCCAAACATGAAAAACCAGTTTTTTGTTATTCCTTCTTCAGTTTGATGATCATTCTCTTTCGCCCAATATTTACACATAGACTCAGTGTGGCAATGCACTTTCATCCACTGTATTCGTAGTACTACCGATGATTGTAAGTTCTAAATTTACTCTACGCGATGCTGCGTAAAATGGAGAAACTCTGGACCAAAATATAAATGTTGAATACAGAAGACGATTAAAAACGAACGACCGCAGTCTCTCTCTCTCTCTCGCTCTTCATCTATCTTTATATATATTTAAGAGTCGCATTCGAACTGATCGGTGTGCCCACTTTATCAAGGTGTATGTTGGCGCGTGCTTACAACTCGATTTCTCGATTTTTTCGCTTCGTGTGCTACACCACATATTCTAAATGTTAATTAAAATTGATTCCGTAATCACCGTCTCCACGGGCTTTTACGATACATCGTCGAACATTTTGAAAACCAGTTAAATTTGGAAAACGAATTTCATTTTAACACTAATAATATTCAAAGTTTCTTCGACCGATACTCAATTTTTTTATTGAACAAAAAAAAATGGATGGTTTCTGAAAACATACTCAATATATCAATTTTTTATGGTATTAAGCATCTTAAAGTAACATGCAAAGACGTTCGTCACGAAAAATATATGATATGTTGCGAATATTCGAACCACAAATAACACATAAGATTTATGCTTGCGATTTTATGTCTTATTCAAATGGTTTATCTTTATAAGACTAAGCAGACCAGCCTAACAATACATCATTCGAGAGAGTCGATTCGAATACGCACATGGCTTTTGTTTTTGCGCGCATAGATCCAATCCAACCACCGTTCAAATCGTGATCGATTGTAACTACAAAATGATTGATGGTAAATTTTAATGGCAAACCAATTGTGTATGTTATCGTTTTCTGTGCCTATTGTTTGGTCAAAATTTATACTTGAAAATATTTTCAATTCAATGGCCCATTGCCAATAGTTGAAGTTGGCTAAACATTCAAGTCGATCAACCACAACGATTCGGCGGTAAATTGAAATCCGTTATTTTATAATAAACGCTGGACAAAGTCATAAATTTATAAAGAATCATATTGTTCAAGAAAAATCTGCAAAATTCATTTATTGAAAAAACCAAAATTCCAAGTAATAACTGAATCAAAAATCGTTTACCTTGCAAGTTTGAAAGAATGCCCCAACATCTGTCATTTGAAGATTTTGTAGATTTGAATCCATTTTTTTCGATATATATTGTGTGTGTATTTTCTTAAATTCGTTTTGTACTATGTATAAATAAATCGTTAACACTGATTCATGGCGTCTCCACTGTTCAATGTTTTTAATTGTCTGTTGTGTTAAATTGCTTTCGAATCAGTGATCCTTTGGGAAAAAATTGTTTTTTTCTCACGCAATTACGTTTTTGGTAGTCGATTCGTTTTCTTTTTCACTTATCATTCCCATCAAACACAGTGGAATCAGAAGAATAAACATCGATTATAAAATTTTCACATGAACATTGATGACCATCTGCTCGTTAGACGTTTTTGTCGTCTTAATACACAAAAAGCTGCTTCTTCTTTTATGAATGACATTTATTGTACTCGTCGTACTCTATTGTTTATCAAATCTTCTTCTCCTTAGTCGTTCTTCCCGTTTTTTCTTTCTCTTCACTTGAACTATGTTGTGCTTTTATGACAATTGTTCCTTGTTATTGTTTATGAATACACGCTGTGCAGTAGTTTAACAGAGTAGGTGCGCGCGTATAAAACAGGTAAATGCACAGAACGAAGGGAGATAGAATATAGGTTGAGAGAATTAAATTTTCAACTTTGTTTGAATGAGGGGTGCAATAAAACATGAATATAATAATCCAAAATGTTATGCAATTCACTTGGTTCCTTTTGAGCGCGCTTGTTTTTGTCTGTTCATTTCTTATGCACTGTAAAGTTTTTTCTTTCGTCTTCTATAATTTAGTTTTGCCCTTTATTTATAAATTGTCTTCGTTGTTGCGCATTGAGTCACAGTCTAATGATACAATGCGTTGACTTCAATAATTTTCGTTTCTCGCTTAGTTTTTGCTGTTTGGTTAATTTATTAATAATTTCACCGTATACACAGACAAACTCACAAAAAAACAATGATCGTGTAATGAATTCAAGACGAGCTATTGAAGACGATCTAGACGAAAAATATACATGTTTTTAATCGAATAAACACGCAACGCAGTAATAACATTGGCTACTATATTTTCACCGGCACAGGAAAGACGACGTCACGCAATGGTAAGCATTTAATTTTCATGTGAACTTTTGTGCTATGTCAATGCTGAAATGCGTGTCGTGTCGGCTGGTTCTTGTCTCTCTCTCCGCCTCTCTTTCTTTGTTATTGTTTTGATTATTTGCACTATCAATGTGCACTTGTAAAGTTTTTGGCTGATCTTGTCCACATGTGCGCACTTAAACACAAAATTGAAATTCAAATCGACCGTCAAATGATCGATTCAACAGTGAGATTCACTCGCATCAAGCACTTTATAAATTCATTCCCAAATTTCGAAATAGCATAGTTCAATGAATCGGTTAATAACATCACAAGCATTCGCTATGTACTTTCTAATATGGCGTTCAATTATTACTTGCGCACACTATACATACTAACGGCATAGCTCTATGTGAGAAAAATCTTCACTCAATTCAAGTGAAGTGAACACAATTCAGTATCATTGTCTTTTTTGTCTCAGGCAAAATGTAACACACTTTTCTGTTTCGCTGTCTCCAAAATAAATATTCACAAAACAATTAATATTCACTTTTGGAAAATGGTTGCAAAATTTATGTTTTCGAGAAAATTGTCACTTTGTCTGTCGATTTAGCATCATTTCGAAGAAATGGTCGATGAAGAAAATACACACAATGAAAAAAATGCGATGAGGAACGTTTCGTTTCCGTACTCGTTGGATTCATGTTATAAACTAATACTGAAACGATCACACAACATACAGGTAAGTCTCACAAATAGCGAGATCCATAAACAGGTCGCACTCACACAACCATCGACATACACTCACAACATAAAATACATTGAAATTTAAACATGATCCAAGCAAAGATATATAATTTGATGAAGCAAAGAAACGTAGTGAATGAGAATAAGAGAAGTAAAAAAGCAGGTAACGAAGTTACCTGGACGCATACCATGTTGTTGTTAGTGGTAAATGAGCTGTTTTCTTTCGCCCATGCACACGATGCAGTGTCACGTCTCGCTCACTCAACCGAAAGATTGGTTCATTCTGATTTACCTTAATATAGCATGAGAGCGACTCGTAAGTATTCGTGAGATGTATGTCGGTGTTGTGTTGTTTTGTGTTCTTCCACTTCTTGAAGCATACAATTTTATATGGCATCGATATATTTGGGTTTGCGTGTGTTATGCTTTGATATGTGCATTAGCGATGTGAGAAGAGGTAAGACGTGATCTTATGCGGCCATTTTGAATTAAATACATGAAGAGAAGAGGAAAAATGCTATGTTTTTACATCATTTGACTCTCTTGCTGTTGTCTTATTCGGTATGTTCGTCACACAAACTTTCTGCTGGATTTCCAAAACACGACTCGAGAAACACACATACGAAACCTATGTTTAATTCACTATGTGTAAATCTCGTGGCCGCTCAAGATATGTATTTGTAAAATGTCTTGAATGTGTATGTATTTTGTCTAGATGAATATCCACATTGGAAACTGGGATCGATCTCTCTCTCTCTAATCGCTTCGTAAGCCTTTGATTCGTTTTCGATATGTTTCGGATTATGCTGGTCTCTAGAATGTATATGTGAAAATGATCGATGAAACGAATAAACCATTTGGTCTGAAAAACAGACATTGGCTCCGATTTTATGAGAACAAAAGAAAGAGTTATTCGCGCTAAAAACTCCATTGCATACTTAAAATTGTATTGGGAATTTTGCTAGTTCATTGAATTGATTTTAGTCCATACCTAGGGGAGAGAAACCAATGCTAGTTTTTCTAGTTTATAGCTAATTTACTAGTTTTTAGCTAATTTACTAGTTTATTGCTTGAATAATCTAATAATGCTAATATTCCTTTATGAAATTGCTAGTTTTCTAGTTTTTTGTTCTGTCAAATGACAATCAAATGATTGTACTGACACAATGAAGTATTCTGACGTTTTGTTGTTCAGACATATTTTTATGTGTTTTGAATAAATATACACTTATAATAGTGAAAATTAGTTTAATTATTCTTTTTTAACACAAAATCGTGCATAAAGTACTTGTTTCTTTCAATAGTCGACTTGTAAAATTGATTTAGTCACCAAATCATGGCAAAATATCAAAATGGCGGATCAAATAATTTTTGCTAATTTTTGCTAATTTTTCTAGTTTTTGCTAGTTTTTTTCTAATTTTCCTAGTTTTTACTTGAAATATAAAAAACTAGCTAATGGTTTCCGTCCCCTAGGTCCATACAGAATTGATATCCAATCACTTTTAAATTGTTCATTAAAATCGATTATCTTTAATTAAACTCTATGACGAAAAAAAATGTGAAGCATATATTCTTCTTTTTTTCGACGTGGCAATACTATTATATATTTATGGAATCGAGTTTGTTGAAAATGCCTTTTATGTGTTTTTATTTTTACAATTTTCTTTAGCTGTTTCAGCACAATGACTGAGATGCAAACAAAATTGGATGCAACAAAGAAACTTCTTGGCGCGAATGTTCGCAAAAATATGCGATTATTCCATTGTCGACGCCAAACACACATTAAGCACATATGGTTCATATTTATATGCAGTGAACGAGAGCATGTATATTGAATTTCATGTTATGTCGGCAATTGTTTTTAGTTTTCTACAGTGATTTGATTGTTTTGTCTTATACAGCCAACAACAGTAAGTAAAATAGAGAAAAAAACATGTTTGCATTGGTTTTCTTTGCTCTTTGTTTCGCAAAATTCAGAAAATCGTCAAATCCATTGGAGTCAGAGCAATTCAACATCGGCAAATCAAAGAAGAAAAAAAAAATATGTATTGATCTTAGTGTGGAATATATCATACATTAATTGCTGTTCGTTGCCCCCGATTTTAAGCTGATTTGTTATGTTCGTATTACTCACTCAACATGGAAACAATGTTTTCAAAAAAATATCTTTACGTCGCAATTGTGCAAACACAAGATGGAAATCTGATATTCTGGTGGTCATGATTCATTTTATCATGATCCAATCGTGACAAGATGATTCTTGACATCCTTCGATTTCAAGAGAAACAAATCTCGCGCTCTTTTTTTCTACTCTATTCATTTCGAAAGACAAAATCTATGATACAGAGTATCGATTCACCCTCACCAAGAAAAAAAAATCTTTTTTTATTTATGTTGTGTTTCTGTGAAATGAATCGGATCGATTGTTTGTCACTGGTCTGAAATGATGACCGACCATTTTCGATTTTGGGCTATCTGGATTCCCAATCAAATGCAGAAAAATGGTGATCGACAGCAAAATAAAACACATCACTGTCGAATTCTGTTCTAAAGGTTGTAAATTCTTGGAACTGATGTGGAACGCTTCACAGCACGTTTGACGGCTCTACATTAAAAGCACATATACATATTCATGATTTGTGATCAAATAACATTTTTTCGGGTTGCACACAGTCGTGCTACTCACAGTCAGAGGCTGAAAAAAATATCTCGAGACACATAAAATGTGTAAAAACAAATTTCCGAAACATGCGTGATGAAATTGTTTGTGCGCACCGCGCAGCTTCCCAAATATTTTAAAGTGGTTCAAAAATTAAAAAAAATCTATCATATCCGTCATATTTATACAATTTTATGATTTGATTTGGGTTTGTTTGCCTAAGCATTAGAATCAATTAGCATACTATGCCTAAATGATTGAACAAAACGTTGGAAATTGAGGTGAAATTAATATATGAGATCTCATTTGCTACGGTCTTCTTATCAAAAATGAATTCATGTTTATTTTGACTTTTCAGCTTTGAAGTTTTTTCTTGGATGCGACGTACTTTGGTTTGATACCGTTGAACAGATTATTTATGGTTTATTTACGATTAGTCGAATTTAATTTGGATGAATAAAAAAAAATATTCACAAAATTTCACCAAAGTTTTCGGGTAGACGTGACGAATGTATGCAAAAACCAGTTTTTCGGTATCATTGGGACATTTTAATGGCCGGTGAGTTTCTTTTTTTGCATATAAATGAAAGGAATTTTTTATCAGTTTTAAAATTCAAAACACAATATGTTATGTGCCGACCGAAAAGCTTTTGCTTGAATACGAAATATGGTCAATGTTTTTGCTTAAGATATTCTGCGATCGTCGTCTCAGCTAATCTCGGCTCAATTTATTACCATATGAATACTATATGTTTAACATCTTCGAAGGGCAGCCGTATTGCTTGTCTTTTGATTGTCGTCACAAAGATTTGAAGAAATTTGTTTAATTTGAATTTGTGGGAATTTTTCATGCATATTTCATAGATTCAATCCCTTATACGTATGCTAAATTATGATAAAACAATTTAATTAATAAAAATATGATCATTATCACATCTATTAATTGACCACAAATGCGTTTTCATAAGCAAAAGTTGTGATCTTTTTTCTTTTGAAGAATCCAATTAGATTTCATTTCAAATTAGTTTTTCGCACCTGATTAGCTTCGTTCTTGGGACTTTTTTTTAAGAGAAAACAAAAATGTTATGCTCACCAAATCAAAGAATAGAAAATATCAAGATTACTTCAAACTCAATATTTGTATGCATGTTTGTGTGTGAATTGGTATAAAACGGAATGCAATTAGTAGCTTTCGTAATAAATGTTTGGGTGTTTAGTTTTTTTTGTTTCGTGTTAAATTTATTTCGGTGGCATTGTTCCTTGTATGTTGTGGAAAAAATCTCATGTATTAAATAAATTGAAAGCATCTGTACCCAATCAAAATAACGATCGAATTGAATTGTTTGTTATCTTGAAGAATTGTTCCCAAAACATATTTTCGTGGGTATAGATGCATCATTATATATTTTTTTTCATCGCTGTCTTAAAATTTGATATTCGGTAATAAATAACAATGCCGTGAAATGAATGATTGTGGAGAAATATGAATAAGAAATCGATACCAAGATATATCATAATTTATGATTTGGTATTGTTTTCGGCTGTTTTTTTGGACGTGTGAGATATGAGTCAATATGTTGTTCATATGTGTGTTGTAAACTGACCGCGAATTGAAACGTGAAGCGCTCGTATAAATAACAATCGAAGTGCCTTTCAAGCGTACATAAAGCCCGAAGAATTTATATTCAATATACCACGTTCGTTAGTTCGAACAATAGGATGCTTTTTATATACAATGCAGCAATACACGAGGCATTGCATTTATACTTGTAATTATTTGGCTCGACTTGTGGATTTTAATTTCCACATCATTTTCCAGATATTTATTGAAAATGCACAGAATGCATCAAAAGATTCTTTCGTGTGCAACATTAAACAGAGGCTACACAGTTCAGCTTTTTTTATATGATTTTAAGTCTCTTTAAAATCGCCTTTGCTTGTATTCGTCCAAAAAAGTGTAATCTGTTCAAGAAATAATCGAAAAAAACGGAACGCCATAAAGTTTAACCCGTAAAAATGATTAATATGCATTGCATTCCATATTGTATGGGTGTTTTGTATTTCTGCGAGGCGGTTGCAATATAAATGTGTTACGCCATCGATGAATTCTGCAACTGGTCAAAAATATTAACGAATCTGTGGTTAACACTTGGACGATCTTTGCTCATTAGCTTGCATACCATTTCACAGCAATGCACACACAGTTTTTTCATATTCAATTAGTTGCTGTTGTTTTACCTGAGTGTCCATTCAAATGGAAACATAAGATTGACAAGTTCCCTTA